GGGGGTAGACGATATGGTCACATGACAACGAACTTGCTGAGGCAATCAATTCATCATTAAAGGGAGTGTGACATTTTCCTATCACGCCCGTTGTGAAAGGGACATTTTATCGTTTGGCAACCATGTTTGCAACCTTGGGAAAGGAAGTAGATAAGTGGATTGCAAGTGGTCACAACATCCACCCAGACCTCCATAAAAAATTGCAAGCCTTTATGCAGCACTCAAACGCGATGATTACGACATATGTCTCTTGCGAACAAAATCAATTTTGTGTTTCGGAATATTCCAGGCCATTAGAAGGTATACAACACAATGCATACGTCGTCAATCTATATGACAAAACATGTGACTACGGAGTATTCCAAGCATTCAAATATCCGTGTTCGCATGTAATCGTCGCTTGTTATTCTGTAAGGATTGACTACGTACAATTCGTTGATCGAGTATACTTACTGGAAACTGTATCCGTTGTGTATCGATACGAGTTTCCTCCAATTGGAAATTTAAGGGATCCAGATGCGATTGATGATGAAGCTACAATACATCCATATTTCTCACTACAATGCCAAAAAAGGGTCGTTCAAGCTCAACGAGGATTTATTGTGACGAAGATTTGGTTGACCATCAAGAAAGAATTGGATAGCCAAAGCTTTGTAGTATTTGTAGGAATCACGAACACTCGAAGAAAAAATGTCTTAATCGATCACGACCTAATCTCGATTATTTTGTTTGCATCTTCTTCATGCGAAAAACCAAGCTTTAGAATGATTTTCAATATGATTTTTACCCCGATTACAATGTCTTGTGTGTGTCGATATTACTCTCAATCAAAAAATCAGTTACAATACTACACCTCTGCTCTTAGAAATTATGCAATTTTTCATATTAACTACCTGAAAACCCCCCTCGAACATGCCTACCCAACCATTTTTCCATTTCCTTCATGCATAAAACAAGCTTTTGAATCATTTTCAACTCGATTTTTAACTCGCATGCGATATCTCGTATGTCTCTATATTTGTCTCAACTAAAATAAATTCGAATAATGCGCCTCTAATCTTTTAATGGTCCAAAATTTCGAGATTAAATACATGAACATGCCCCATGAACAACCTACCAACACATGAGATTTGTGCTGGAAATTTTGAAATGATCTCACGTGTTGGAAAACACGAGGTATCTTGAATACCACTCACGATAAATTTCTCACAGCGGTTCATTTTCTCGAGAACCTCGCTTTACGCAAAACGTGAGGTACAAAATGTACCCAATTTCTGAATGTAATTGGGTAAGTTCGGTTCACATTGTTCTGAAGAAAACCAGTTACAATGGTCAAAAATTCAGAAGGCGAGATGATTCTGGCGAGTGCAGAACAGATGGAGAGTTTGTATAAACTACAGGAAACTGTATTTCTTAACCCAATATTAAATTATGTACTCCGTAAAGGTCGTCCACGTAGGACGTTCCTCGCACCATGTGGAATGCGAGACATGTTCTCACGCTGGATAGGACGCGAGATAGTCCTACGTGTGCTGTATGAGGGATATTTTTCTAACAAATCTACTAAGGGGTTACTGTTCAAGAAAATAATTAATGGGGTTTTTAATATAATATTGCCTATTTTAACTAAGTTTTGACTTGTTCAAATAATTAGATATTCGAATAGATTTAAATCTTAACAAATAAAAATATTTATTTTATTAACATAATATGTAATGCCATATAAAATGATTTACTAATATGATTTTAATATTATATTTTCATGAGAGAGAAAAAATATTATTAATATTATTATTTTTTCACCTTTCGAAGGTATGCGAGCCACCCTGACCTGAACTTTTATATACCAAAAAAAAAAATCTTCTCGCTTCTGCCTCTAGCACTAGTTTAATGGATGAGCCATTTTTCCTCTTCACGTTTTTAGAACAAAGGATGTAGTTTCTCAAGTATCAGCAGCGGAACCCACCCATCCACAGCCCAAAGAAAAAAAAATTGAGAATTGATGCAAGACATGGCTGCCTTGGAATGGGGTTTGGGTTGCCCAAGAGATCAGTGAAGGTTGGGGCTAATTTAAAAGTATGGAAGTCTTTCAAAGATCCCCATCAAATTGCACCTACACTAGAAGACAATCAAAGTGGTCCGTCAAGAAACAGGTTTAAGAAAATTATTTAAGAAAGTGACAAATGCGTGCCATGTCAAATTTGCGATAATATTAGCGACAAATGCGTTCCTTCCTCTTGTTTTCTACACCTGCAGAAAAATGCTAAGGTTGTAGGATTGATTCTTATAAAGATGTTCCAACAAATGATGAGAACACATTGAAAAAGACTCTTGTGTATCAACCAGTTAGCGTTGCAATTGAAGCTGGAGGCAGGTTTTAATTTCCAGTCGTATACTTCTGTAAGAATACTATCCTTCAAAATAACTGAAGTTTAAAAATAATGTCTAGTTAGTAAATTTTTACTTGATTATGAAGCAAGAATGTCTCTTAAAATTGGAGTTTGAATAATGTATTCTACTGTTCTTCAATGTAGGGTGTATTTAATGGAATATGCGGAACACAACTGGACTATCCACTGTCGGATATGGCACAGACAATGGTAAAGATTACTGGATTGTAAAGAACTCATGGGGTGATCAATTGGGAAAATCAGGCTATATCAGGATGGAAAGAAACCTGCACAATACAGCAAAAGGCAGGTGTCTGTGATAATTATTACAGCTGTCCCGACAGCAGTACTTGCTGCTGTGCCTTTGAGTACCATGGCTACTGCTTTTCTTGTGGGGTGCTGCCCACTTGAGGCTGCGACTTGCTGCGATGACCACTACAGCTGCTGTCCGCGCAACTACCCTGTCTGAAAACTTGAATGAGGGTACCTGCTTCATGGTTCGACTAAAAGATGATTTTGCACTGATATATATATATATATATATATATATATTATGAACTGCTTTGTTATATTCCCTGATTATACTAGTGAATAGTGACCCTGCATTTTAATTGTTTGCACATTCATGTGATCATTCGTCTAATTCAGTGTTTTGGTCCAGTTTTCTCACAGTCATAAGTGAACTATCATTCCAATTCTCCTTTTCTTTTTGTCTAAAAGTTAATAGAGTTCTCATGGATTGCTTGAATTCGTTTTGCAGAGCAAGGGCAACCCAATGGCAGTGAAAGCATTGAGGCGCACTGCTGCTACACCTTTATGGGAACACGGAAACGGGGGCAAAAAGAACAGTGCATAAATAGAAGCCTGGGATAAAACTACCGGGAGAATGAAAGAAGCTTGACACTGCTTAAACGTTCTCCTTGGTTTTATCATGCTGCATTCCTTTCTTTCATTCTGACTCCAGAAGATGGATGGCTCATATAAGTTGCGCAGATGACAATTATGTACGTAGCTTCCTAATTTATCCATGCTGCATTTGAGAAACAGACAGAACATTGTCAATTTCCATTGTACTATGTACATCGTGTCATCATTTATCACTTTCAGGAATTGATCTGTCAATCCTATCCTGTTCTTATGAGTGGTTCATATCAGTCTAATATTTTCCTTTCTTCAAATTTGAACAATTTTACCTGGTTTTAGAATCCAAGTTGAATATATAACATCATCTGAAATATATGAATTCAACTAATTCTGGACTGTGCCATGATCAATGCAACAATAATTAGGTTAACCTTTGTTTTTTCTTCTTCCTGTTCAAAGTTTTGACATTATGAACTCAAGATCAGTAGTCCACAAGTTGTTCGCTGCAAATATCACCTAGCCATGGCCGTAGTTTTAGTTGCTGGGGAGGCAAATGCGTTATTTTATTTGCTCTCATCAGCCTTAAAATTCATTTTTATTTTGGAGCCACCATCGATTACAGAAATAGTTATGCTATAAAAGGTAACTTCATAAAACAGTTGTTCCAGAGTTTCCAGGGCTCTAGTACCCCGCAGAACAGAAAAAAGAAAACTACATAACTGACAGTTAACAGGTCAAAGAACATCTAACTTCTTAGAAGCCACAACTGTTATTTACAAGTGACACCTCTGAAATATTCTGATCTTCACTTTTACATTTTTTCATACTTAACAGTGCTAACTTCAAGAAGCAAGTATTGTAGCTGATTGTTCAAATTTTCTGCAAAATAAGAAAAGGTCTGAACGAACATAAGATTCAAATGTCAACCAACATAACAGAAGCCTTGAGCACAGTGAATTAATAAAATATAGGTACAATCCTCACAGTCAACTTGTCTCCATTCTGTATGATTGCCAAGTATCTCAACTACAGCCCTTTAATCAGGAGGAGGAGAATATTTATTTAAAGAAGAAGAAAGCTTTCCATTTTATCACACACATAGAGGTGGAGCTTTAGGAGGGTTGCTGTCAAAAACTAAAAAATGTAGTATGCAAGTAGTGGAGGCAATCTCTGCAAGTTTTTCTCGACTCAAAATAATGGTGTTTTAGACTAGTGTTACTATCTTGCCTGCTAACAAAAGGGACCCCTTTGCCCAAATGACATGCCTGACAACATAAATCACAACTCATTGTCTTAAGTAATGACCCAAAATATTGAAAAAAGCTAAGGGGTTGGGGACCATCCACTGTGTCGGGTGGGAGGAGGGGGCCAGACACCAAATGTCATAAACAACTCAATTAACCACCGTCATTCTTCTTCTTCAATTTGATATTTATAGGGGACCATTGCTGGAAGGGACAAGGATTAGACCATTGTGGCTGAACCCCACCCTTGGCCTTATCAACAGCAGTTGCCTTCGGCAATTGGCATAACCCATATAATATCTGTCTTGATTATGAAAGCACAAAAAAACACTACAATCAAATGCTATAGTTTGGCTATTATATTAAGTCCTAAGCTCGTATTTTAAAAACTAAAAGCACTATTTTGTTCTGTTTAAGCTCTTTCATATCACTAGTCACCTCCTTGCTTTCCATTTCTCTCACTTTTTTTAATCAATATAATCAATCAGCTTATTACATTTAATTAAATAACTCTAATATTTTATAGACACGAGCATAAGAAAGTGATGCAGAAACAACTACATGAACAAAAAGGAGATAAATCATATCATTTTGATAATAATATATTTTGATTATCTTAATTAGTTAAGCTTCAGAGTTCAAACTATGTCCTCGTCAGTCTTTGAGAGGTCCAAATCCCAGTTGTATTACAGCATCTTCTTGTAGCACTAAATTAGCTTTAACAGGTCTTGGCTTCTCCTGATCAGCAGCTTCCAATTGACTTGAAGGTTCTGTTTTTGACTCGACTATGGGAATTTCACCTACTGAGCCTCCATTATCATCCCTTCCTCTCTGGCTTGCAGTGTTGGGGTGGTTGATGAGTATTTCAGGAGGTTCAATGGCATTATAAGATGGGAAGACAGAAGGCAGCTTGGATAACAAAGCTCCAAGACTGCAAGATACAGTAGGAACAAGGGGTGGAATTGACCAAAAGGGTGGTCCTATAATTCCATTTTGAGGGCTGTTCCAACCTAAGCTGATTGATTTGATCGGAGAATCCTCTGGCCTTTCATCAACCAATCTTTTCATTCCACCTAACCGGCGTTTGTCATCATGACAGATTGATGTTTCATGGTTTACAGACAACAGGTTATTCGGTTTGAGGGCGTATGGATGTTGAATTGGTAAGTATGGTCTTTGAATGGCAAAGACGCCAGGTATACTCTGGAGATAGCTGAATTTCCTCTGTATGCTGATCACCAGATTAAGATCTTCCACCATCTGAAAAATCCCATCATTCATTGAAACACTTAAAGCCAAAATATATATATATATACAACAGAAAAACAAAAGAAGGAAAAAGAGAGAGACCTTGTCCAATGAACCTAGCTGAATAATCCCTTCTCTGACGGAAATTATGGCAATTGTCTGTATATCAACAGAAACTTTAATGAGCTTTTGAATGGGGCTATTGCCGGCTGTCCTTACAGTTAAAATTCTCTTTTCACATAGTTTACTTGGTGTATTACCAACCTGAATGCCTGAATTGAACTGAGATTCCCACGCCCTAGGTTGCTGCTTAAAGGAATTAAAAAATAAAAACTGGTTAGACGGATACAAGAGAAAAGTTCATTCACATACGTGAATTCCGTTGAGGATGAAATAAACAACTAGACATGTTATCTTACAGGCTCAATAGACAAATTCCAGGAGGAGATGAAGTTAGGATCATTATCATTTGGGGTTTCTTTATACACCCATTTGTGACTGTTATCTGCTGCAATTTTCCCTACTAACCTGTAATCAAGGTGCCATTAACTTCACCGTGCAGCCCTTCAAATTTCTGTAAGGAATTTAACTATAGTTAAAGGAATTCTCACCCTTCTCCATAATTATAAACTTCATGCGACAATTTGAAGAATATATCAGCTCCAAACCTTCCATTTACATAGCCACTTCCAGCATGTTCACATTCATGGAAATCACAAAAACCATCTTCCCAGACAAGCATCCTATAACACAAAGTCATTCAGGAGCTTAAAATGGAACAAAAACCAAAGGACGTGCCTCAAGTAAAAAAAAATTAACTGAATTACCAGTTCTTTTTGTTTCCTTTGGAACGATCAAGTGCACTCCCTCCATAATCCCACCTGCAAGAGAGCAATTTGACCTAGTGAACGTCAGACAAATGGCCTTTGACAATTACTAGTAAGCTTTCGTTTTAGTTTTCTTACTTAGGTGGCGGATAATTACGAGGCAGTATCCTCCAAAATACAGCATAAACCCACTTTGAAGGAGGAGAAGAATCCGAATATGAACACAAGCTCCGTAGCGTGTGCTGCAGGAGACAGTTAAGCATTGGAAGTCCAGCTTCCATTGTCACTCACAGAAGAAGGCAAGAGAGAGTGAGAGATGAAATAGAGTTGGCACCGGAGAAAGAGTCCTAGTTAAAGTCGCACATATAAAAGGCAACAGCAAGAAAAGAATAGCCACATTTCCATACGCTGGACTTGTCAGTGTGAAAGCAACACGCTCCAATGGAATCGTCTTTGATGGAGGGACCAGGTCATTTATGGTCTGATTTAATACTTTAAACGTAAGAAAATGGAGAGGTTTAAAACCCTAAAACAAGATTGTTGGGCGAGTTTGATACACTCTCCCTGCTAAAGGGTAAGGACTTGGAGATGGGTTTTCTAGAGCAGACAGGTTCACCACGGAAACTTCTTTAATTTTGTGTCTTTCCTTAAGAGAGCGGAACGGACAAATGTGAAACAGCTTCAAGCAGTTGGTTTTAATAATTCTGTTTGATTAGGGTACGATAATGTGAGAGCTTTGGCGGGATTATTATCTCACCATGCAAACTCTAGTAGTTTGCAATTCACAATAATATGAGAACTGGGGTTATCCTTTAGTGCCTAAAGGGCCAGACAGACAGTCACAGAAAAAAGATTCCCCATTTGTGTTCTAGAATAGTTTCAAATTGCTACATGACTTGCAGTTCATTTGGGGGAAAAATGTTTCTTCCACATATATTATATAAGAATATACCCTGTATGCAACAAATCTGTTTATTCTGGAAAACTGTTTTCCATGGCTAAAAATTATGCTTCTGGTTCATTTTCAAGTTTAACAGGTCTACATCAGAATATTAATCCAAAAAAAATTTATTTAGCAGGTCTAGATTTATCTTTGATTTTCAGCAAGAGGCACTTCATTTGCTAATGACACAAAGGGGAAAATAAGAAGAAAAAAAGGAAAATGTGTTCATTTAATTATGAAAGTCAAGTTTGCTTAGCATGGAATTAGAGCAATGGTTAGGTCTGAATATATTTAAAGGTTTAAGAAAGTGATGTTGCAACAAGCATTCAAAACATCTTTTAAGCGTCCTTTTTTTCGCCCTTTTTGTTCTAACAGTATTTTGATGTCAATATACATGTGTTTGTCTGTTGTAGTTGCATTGGTCCCGAAAGGTTGACGGATGAGTCTTGTGAATAAATTATACCAAGGACAGGATTATTTATATCTGGCTACGTTAAGTGCCCATGAATCTGAGCCTGGCCCAACACCTCTGTGGACGAAAATGATAATTGATAAGAAGTCGAATAAAAAGTTTCAAAATTGTGAGATATGCGATCTAGATTCTTATATGCCATAGCTGCAGTATCTCGCTAGTTCTAAGAGCAAGAAAGGTTTCCAGCTTTATCTTCAAGGTCATCCAAAATGGCATCTGAAGAGACCATACTGATAAAATTGCAGGTTTCAATGTGAGATTACCCCTGTTGTCTCATTGTTTTGAATTGCACAACCCTCTTCATGTATAATCAGGAAGCTTTGATCAAGCTGAGGAAGAAATAGCTAAAAGTGGGTTGCAAATGCAATCCTGGAAATAATCATGCTAGCCTTGGTGCACACAAAAGCAATCGAGAAACCACTTTATGCATTTTGTTAAAACTTTGGCAAGATTACAAATGATCTCCAACACTAATAAAGCTTTCAATTTCAGTGTCTTAAAGAGAAGAAAAGGCAGAGGAAATCTGGATGAGATCTTATTTATAGTAACTTTCCGCAAGAAAAGATAAATGTGGTCCTCCAGCAATCCTTTTAATTACTGAGAGTGCAGCAGCATGCTTCATGAACAAGATGAACACTTCCCTCTCACCTTTTGCATCAACTTGTTTTAACTGGATTCCATTTACAATACCTTCACTTCCCTTCAAAAAGAAAGTTAACCCAATGTAATTTACATATAGCAGCGGTTGGAAAACGAGAGAGGAGCAATTCAAAGCAAGAGTAATACGACCAAAGGAAGACGACCATTTTAATTCAGAATTCGATATAAAAATTGCAGAAGATATTGGATCAAGTGGAACGCTGGGGACGGTGGTGGCATGCAAGGTGGGGGCAGGGAAAAAGATTGACAGCTACAATAAGCAAGGCAAAAGAACATCCCAACTCTTTCTAAAAGGACTGCCCTCTCCACTTCTACAATTATCACCCCTTTCCTTGATTTTCCTTATCTCTTTGGATTGAACAGTCTAATAGCCAACCACCTCAGATTGGTGGCGGATCCAAAAATTTATAATTGGGGGTCCAAAATTTTAATTTTCTTTTCTTAAAAATAATGGGGTGTAAAATCTTCCATTTTTCTTTAATATATTATACTAAATTTCACTTTTTTTTTCAAATAATGGGATACACTTGACCCCGAGGCTTAGTGTATCCGCCCCGTCTGCAAACCATAGTCCGAAATCTCATCAGAAAAATCTTTTCCATTTGTTTACCTCATTCTCTATGTTCTTATGAAGCTACATGTCCTACTACAATAACACTGCCACATACTTCATTGGAACTTTGTAATGGGTTAACATCACTAATGATAACAAAAAATTAAAGCTTTAACAGGTTTAATGTTGCACCGGCATTTTAGAACTTCCCCCTTGATGCAAAATCACACACTCCAAACTGTGATCTGAAAAAATTGATGCCCGAGAAAGCAACTTCGTAAATACACCAGTTATATATATGCTCATTTGTGATGCAAAATTTCATCAGCTGCAAGCTTCGGAATAAAATGATGATGCTCGTCAATGTGCTTATAGTTCTACAATGAAAAACAGGAGTCTTTGTTATTGCAATTGTGGGTTGATTTGTTACAAAAATCTAAGTTGCTTCATTTTGTTCAAAATTGGAATAGTAAATGCTTTCTGAGTCACAAAGCTTGTGGCACCGCTGCTGTTGTTGCTGCATATTCTGCTCCAAATGATGATAAAGTTATTGTTTCTTGCTTCTCTGAACCTTATGTTACTGCTCCAGAACCGAAATAATACTAACGGTTTTGAATCATCTTTTCAACCGATGCCGGATTTATGTAATTATAACAAAAATAGCCTTTCCTGCACTGCAGAAATGGTAGTGATTCCAGCTAAGAACTAAGCTGTCCATATTTTACATTACAAAATATATGGATCAGGACTCAGGTTTTTTTAAGTGATGCACAAGATCTGCAAGTTTCCAGTTTTATGAAAGCTTAACTTCCAACCTAGGTCCTCCTCTACACATGATCAAATAGAGCCAAGATAATAGTATAGTAAAGAAATAAACCTATGCAGCACCAGACAAAACTGTGTTTGAACCTAAACAACATGTTTGGGTATCGACAAAAGCGACAATTCATTAACGCAAAGAAGAAAAAACGTAGACTTAAATGGTGGGGAAGTTTCAAATTTGCGGTATCTACAATGCTTCACAGAACAAACTTCAATTACTCAAGCTGGGCTACAATGTCTTGATTTTCTTCAACATGCAACAGTTCTATTTTTAAAAAAAATACTATCCACCAAGCTGGCCCCAACTTTCTTTTCTTTTCCGAGAAGATCCAAGTAGAAATAAATGACCCGTTTGAAAAGTAGCTCCTCTCGTGGAGAAATTCCATTGAAAGATGCTATTAAAAAGGGTAAATTACACAAATGTTCAATAATGTTTAAGTAAATTTATGCATATGTTTTCCCTTAAATTATATCTCTCTAACAATTTATATCAATTTTAGAAAGCATAACATTTTGTAATGCTTTATGCATATGAGTTATAAAGTCTCTTTCATGATAATGCATAAAGCATGATAAACTTGGTTGTATATTAATTTTCAAGTGTTATTAATATGCTTGTTCATCTTTGTTGAAATTTAATACTATTTAAGTGTTAAAGTTTTTGTGTCAAAACTTTTACATTAAATACTTTTATTGTGGGAGAGCTTTAGATTTTTCAAATGATTTTATGCTATAATTTTCACTTACCCTCCATTTTTATTTTGATCTTTAAATCTTGAATTATTTTTTATATAACAAAAAAAGGGAGAAATATAAGTTTGAAAAATTCAATTTCCAGAATGAAAAATGGGAGCTTAAAATTTTTCTAAATACTTCTCTTTTTCATGAAATGTTTTACTTGGGGGGAGTTTTGCCAAAAATCATTTTTCAAATGTTTTGTTATATCAAAAAGGGAATATTGTTGAACCTATTTTGATATAACAATTTCAAGGGCAAAATATTTTTGGACTTGATTGAATTTATTCAAAGTTTTCAAAAATAATTCAAAGTCCATTAAACAAGAATTTGAACAAATTTTTTTTTTTTTTTGGATAAGTAGGACCGAAACTGTTCTTATTGTATCGATACCAAATGTAAGAGGGGCATCGATACTCATCTGGTAGTACCGATAATACCTATTGTTTTCAAATGTGTTCAGATTCCAATAAGCAAAAATAGTACCGATACTCAAAGGAGTATTGATACTACTTTACATAGTAGTATCAATACTTCAACCCTAGTAACGATATTGTTCTAGCTCAATGGTCATTAACGGCTAGTTTATTTAAAAGTTATAAGGGCAATACCAATACTCTTAGCCCGAGTACTGATACTTCTTTTTATGGGCTATTTTGTTTTGCAAAAAATTAATTCTCCAACGACTCCAAACTTTCTCTAACGGCTATATATGCTCACAAACACATTCCAACTTATAAAAACAAGTCTATGACACTCGAAGAAGGTTACAACACCTATCTAAGCAATATTCATAATATAAAAGTTATTTCAATCTTATTTTTCCTTTTCTCTTGTACGTAGAGTGTTTTTAGTGAGCTTAATTTGTAAATGTCTACCTTTGAGAGGTTTTTCTTGTTTACATAGTTTACCTTTTGTAAAAGGGGAGTGGTTCTAGTTTAACCATTGAAAACTAGGGAATTTGTAAAATGTTACTCTTGAGCCTAGAAAAAGAAAGAATAAGTTAGTGAATTTGTTAGAAATTCTTAGTGTAGAGCTAAAGTGGTGAATGTAGACTTTCATTGAGAAATGTGAACCACTACAAATCATTGTGCTTACTTTTCTTATCATTTCTCCTCAATTGCCAATTTTTTTTTAAAAAAAATCAATTCACCCCTCTTGTATATATTTTCGATTGTTCATAGAGCCTAAAATTCTAACAGTTATGTAAATCATCTCTTGTGCTTTCTCATGTACACCAATGACCAAGATTATCCATCCTTCAATAGATCTATGGGCCA